ACGTTAGGTTAATTTTATAGAAAGAGTGCTGTCGTGAGCAGTATGGGCTGCAGAGGCATGATGGCCCTTGGATCAAGACCAGATACGTAATTCCATGTAGGCAGGAAAAGCAAGGTTTACCACTGCTAAGCAAAAGATGATCTAATGCTCTAAAGCAGTTTTTATTTGGATGGTAACGCACTAGGAGTCGGTATTTTCTTGTCTTTTTCCAGAAGATGTGAAGCAGTACCATGCCTCCAAAAGCCTTATACATCCCTTGCTTAGCAGCTTTCTGAAATGCCACACATCTTTTCCTTCAGTATGTTTCTTTGTTTTTCTAGGATGATCACTATTTTTCTCATAGAAGATGTTCTTAATTAATTGTTGCCCAACATTTTTGCCTTCAACAAAAATCTTGAAAATCTCTGACTGCAAGATATTCCTAGTATTTTTTCTTTCACATCTAAGTCACTAACACAACGACCATGTTCTGTAGTCATGGGTAGTTGACTACAGCATGGCATTTCTTCTCGAAGCAATGAAGGTGACCGCTCAATTTCTAAAATTTGTATTGCTGTTTAATTAAGGGAAACCTAAGATAACTTACTGGCAGGGCAAATACATATACCACATTGAACAAGTCTGCAGTAATGGTTTGAGGAAACAGCACATGGATTATAAATTCCAGTTGAGATTATTGCAGAGCTATTGCAAGAATGCTGCTGTCTCATGAGTTGTTTTATTAGCATTGATGGATACCTACTGAGTTTTTGACATGTTCACTTGATGGAAATAGGAGCATTAAAGTTTAAGGAGCTTTTCTTGAGCCATAGATATACTGAGGAAGAAGCTGTAAGAACTTGACCGTATTCTGGTTTTGAGAGCACACGAGAAACAGTAATAAGCTCCACGAGCTGAGTAAGGAAGCCGAGCCTTTTTAAAGAGGACAATTAAATGGAGAAAATCCACTAGATTATGTATAGAAGAAGGAAAGCAATAGTTGCTTCTTCTGGTGCACGATCCTGTGTACATGGCCACAGAAGCAGAATGTGAAATGTGTTTCAGATTGGTGATCCCCAAAGGAATGAGCACAGAGGACACACATTAGAGGTTTCAGTAGACTCATACTCTTCCAGCATTACTGGCCTTTCCACAGCTCTCTCTCCATGTCAGGCTGTTAAATGACAAGAGGGTTTTACCTCCCAGCCCCCTCAGTACAGAGCTACAGTCACTCCTGAACAACAAAAAAATTGGAGACTGAACCAAGATTTATTTTTGCATCTGTTATCTAACCCATAACTCAGGCATGTCCAACCTGCGGCCTATGTCACATGCAGCCCAGCACAGCTTGCAATGTGTCCCACTACCTGCCCTGCACCATCACCGCAGTAGCTCTGCCCCACCAAGTGGCTGGCCCAGCCCCTCAGAATCAACTGAACATCTGTGTGCTATTAAACCTGACTGAGCTGAAACCAGAGCATGGAGTGCTCTGCATAGAGAGCACCTTCCCACCAATATTTCATTACAGAATCACAGAA